GTCTAATTCTTCATTTGGACTCTGGCATGAACACATTATCTAAATATATAAGTTCCCTCCATTCTTTTTATGTTCCTAGGACAAGTGAATGTTCTACACTAAGTGCAACCAAAATGCAGAACAAAGTTAAATACAGGCACTAGAACTTAATAAGCTACATCATCCAGGTCTCACATTAATTTATTATATTTCTTTATATTATTGTGAAAGTAAATTTATCTTTGTTAACTCGCAGAAAAGCTGAGTTTGAGTGCTGTTTTCTCCACATTCAGAAATACTGACCTACAGAATTGAGTCCAAATGCCACGGCCAGGCATGTAGTCCTAGCGCGCTGTGCTTCCCTCTCCTCTGCAGGCTCACCCCGGGGCATTGCTGCCACCACCCTATGCCCGCTGTGAGTGACCTCCCTCCCGGTGACCCTGCCCCCATTCCACTGCAGCCCTCTGAGCTTTTGCTCTTGCTGAATCTTCTACATACTTTCCCCCAATTTTCTATTTTATAAATTAAATTTATTGGGGTGACATTGTTAACATGACTATTTAGATTTCAAGTGTACAATTCTATGATGCATGATCTGTAAATTACATTATGTGTGCCCACTACCCGGCACCTGATTTTTTAAAAAGTCACTTTGAAGCAAAAAAGGTAGGTAATTATTATTATTACTTTATTTTTTTGGTAATTCAATCAAAATTATACCTATTTTTGTCAGATCTGCAAAAAACATATTTTTAATATGCTGCAGAGTTTTACTTTATTTGTTTATTTATTTATTTTTAGCATTAAGTGCTTTTTTTATTGTGATTAAATGTATCTAGCCTAGGTCTCATGTCCTCTAAAACCACTACTGGAGCCCCAGGTTGAAATATACCTCTCCTCTGGGGACCAAGGGCACACAGTGCTCATGTCCAGCTTAACTCCTCCCTTAAGGACAGTGGATCCAGTTGGTTCCTCATCCTATCATAAGCTTCTCAAGAGTAGGTTTGGTAATCCTGGCACCTAGCCCAGGCCCGGATACTCAGTAGTCACTCAATAAATATATAGGAAACTGAACTGAGCCATTTTCAAACAAAGGGCCATCTGCGGTAACCACACTGGGTTTTGTTTGTTTGTTTCATTTGTTTGTTTCCAGTACTCACAATTGAATATACCTTAATAAAACATGACATATTGAAAAGCGCACTAGATTTAGAATCAAAGGACTTGAGTTCACATCTTGTCCTATCATCTATTTTCCTATATAAAATGCAGATAAATAATTCCCATTTCACACCATTTTGCAGATGTGTACAATTCTGACATATATTCAATAAATATTAGTTTCCTTTCTGTATTACTGCTTTACTTCTTTTTATGGCCTTTAGTGATTTGAAATTATTGTTACCAGTGAAGCTTCAAATCTATATGTACCTCCTTATCCCAGTTAGATTAAGATCTAGTATTAGTTATTTTCCCTGAACTGGGCTTCAAAATCATTACATAAAATAGATGACAGTCCTGGCCGGTTTGGCTCAGTGGTTAGAGCATTGGCCTGCGGACCAATGGGTCTCAGGTTCGATTCTGGTCAAGGGCTCGTACCTCAGTTGCGGTACGTCCCCAGCCTTGGTTCAGGGTCATGTGGGAGGCAAGCAGTCAGTGTGGCTCTATCACATTGATGTTTCTCTCTGTCTCTCTGTCTCCCTCACTCCTACTCTATCTGATAATATGTAGAAAAATATCCTCAGGTGAGGAATAAAAAAAAATAGATGATAATCTGTCCTCCTTTTCACCCTCATAGGTTACCACTCCCTTGAACTGTTTATATTTATTTAGAATATATATATATATATATATATATATATATAGTTGTTAATACTCACTGAGAATAATTTTTTTCCATTGATTTTTAGAGAGAGAGAGAGAGAGAGAGAGAGATAGCTGTGAGAGACACAATTGGTTGTCTCCCACACATGCCTTGACTGGGGCTGGGGATCTAACCTGCAACCCAGGCACATGTCCTTGACTCAAATCAAACCTGAGACCCTTTGGTGCAAGGGCCAATGCTCAAACCATCGAACCACACTTGCCAGGGCCATATTTCTTTCCTTTTATTGCCATAGGTATGAGAGGACCTTTGCTTCGTTCTTATTATCTAGAGAAATCTGTCTTTTGCCATCTTGAAGTTTCTTATCATCAGAAAGCATCTACTTTAAGAAGTGTTTGTTTGTTTTTCAATTTTTTTAAATTGATTTTAGAGAGAGTGGAAGGGAGAGGGAGAGAAAAACAGAAACATTGATGAGAGAGAACATCAATTGGTTGCCTCCTGCATTCCCCCCATTGGGGATTTGGCCCACAACCTAGCCATGTACCCTGACTGGGAATCTAACTTGCGACCTCGTAGTGCATGGGTTGACACTCAACCACTGAGCCACCCTGGCTGGGGAAGAAGTGTTTTCTTTACCTGCATTTTATTATTGAATTTACATTTTTTATTTGTTCATATGTACATTAGAAACTTTTGCTTCAGTTATTTTGGTACTCGGCAATAACAAAATTTATTGTAGAAGTAAGTCATGTGGCATTCAGTAATGCAGAAAATTTCTCTAATCATTGGGTTCCTAGCTTTAAAGTGTGTGTTAAAACAAACCACCTATAAAGTAGGTAGAAAAGCATCTGAGACAGATATAGCTGATGCTGACAAGGAAGAACAGAAAAGGAATGAAATGCCTTCATTTTGTTTATCATAAAACGAAATGGCAACTGCAAACTACAGAAAGTCTTCTTAAAGGAAATCTAAGTAATGGACATTTATTGGTACAAGATAACTCAAGCTAGATGGAAAAGAAAAGCTGCTCAGATATGGGAATAGCTAAAGGGTGAACTAAGCTACAAAAAGATGTGATCAATGTCACTAGAGACAAAGTATCTGAGTTTCAACTTAGCATTGTGAGGATAGGAATAATGAAATCAATTTGTCATAAAGCGGCAGGCATGAGTCAGTGACCCACAAGAGATCCCTGTTATCACACATTACTCTCTGGTTATGTGCCTTCCTAAAGACTGAAAGCAAAGTGGGGTACAAGTGCTTCTGTATTGGATTAAAGCTGCACCTGTCTTGCCCTGACCCATTTCACTTTCAACCTACTCTCAATTCAATACAAATTAAAACCTTGGAGACTTTTGGTGGAAATATTCATGACTAACAAGAAAAACACTGAGTATTTAGAACCTCAGAAGAAATGCATTTGGTTTTTGCCCTGTTTGTAACAATCATGAAGAGTACCACTTTACCATCTGGTAGGAAATAAAAGAGAACCTTAGAGTCTTATTTCCTAAATTGGGGATACAGTCATTTGAGTTGGCAAATCTTGGTGAACAGTTACAAGCTTACAAGTACTGACCTCAGGCCCTTTTGTATGCATGTGGCTTGCATTGGAGAGAGACAGCACTGACAGCTTGCACGGAGAGAGATGGACAGAACTCCACATGTTTCTGCTTCTAGCTCTTTCAGTATCACTTTCTGTTTAAAAAATAAAATTACTTGGGCTCTTAAGATGTACATTTGATTTCACGATTTTTAACTTGTTCACAGCTTTAGCTTTTTATGAGGATACCAATATTTATTTATATTTCACATTGGTTCAGAAGGTTCTTTCTATGCTTTGTGTCAGCTATTGTGTATGCAAAGTTAGATCTCTTGCTCTTGAAGACCTTGCAGTCTGCTGGAGGAGAATATAAAGATATTTCCTCAAAAGAATGGCAAGACAAGCCCTGGCCGGTTTGGCTCAGCGGTTAGAGCGTCCGCCTGCAGTACGGAGAGACCCGGGTTCGGTTCCCACTAAGGGCATGTACCTCGGTTGCAGTTTGTCCCCGGCCCTGGTTGGTCGTGCGGGTGGCAGCCACTCGATGTGTCCCTTTCACATTGATGTTTCCCTCTCTCTCTCTTCCTCTCTCTCCCTCCCACTCTATCTGTACAAAAAATGGAAAAATGTCCTCAGGTGAGGAAAAAAAAAAAAAAGAATGGCAAGACAAGCCACAACCTGGGAAAACATATTTGCAAAGGAATATCTGATCAACGGCTGCTCTTTAGGTTCATTAATTGTAACAAATGCACTGCTCTGGTTCAGGAGGGCGAAGCTACACATGTGTGGAGTCGGGGCATATATGGGGACTCTCTGGGCTTTCCACTTGATTTTGCTGTGAACCCAAAACTGCTCTAAAAAATAAAGCCTTTAAAATAATAAAGCCGGTGTACTATGCTATGAAAAAAGGGCTTTAACTCTGGTAGCCCAGAAAAGAGGGGCTTATCTATCCTAGGGAGGCTTTGGAGAAGAATTCACAGAAGCCATAGGCTTTACACTGGGATTTAAAAGTAGGTAGAGTTTTACCTGTAGGAAGGTTCAAGGAGGAATTACTGGTATGGAAGGAAAAGAAAGGAGCAGAACAAGGGTATACTAGGAAGGGAGAAAGGAGCAGGATGGGAGGAGGAGCTGTGATGCACTCTGAACGCCTTGTAATTTGGACTGGCATTAGAGTTTATTGTATGTCACTGGACTAGTGGGGCAAGTTGGACATTTTAGCCATTTTATCAGCTATGCTGATGAATTTGGAGTCTCTCTCTGGAGCAAGCCATTGGCTGTTTGTAAAGAATAGAAAAGCTAATGCTTACTGAGTTCTTCTTTTTGTGGTTGGTGTTTGGACTATCACATGTAATCCTGACATCACCTCTTGGAGTTGAACATTGCTCTCTCATGTTGCCACTGAAGAAACTAAAGCAAAGAGAGTTTAAATAAATGCCCCAGATCACAGCTAATCAGGGTCAGAGCTGAAACACAAATCCATATATCATGCTGTCAAAACTCACTGCCTGGCCACCCTCCAGAAAGGTGAAGTGGGAGAAACATTCAAGGGGGAGGAAATGAATGCAGATTAGATGTCATTGCTTATCCTTTGTTTTTCCAGGTCTCTTTACAAGGAAATAGACCAGCAGCTGCAATCAACTGCAATCCCTTCACACCTTCATGATGTTTCCCTTGGCTAGAAATACACTAAGAAGTCTCAAGATTAGAAGCCTTCAGCAAATTAGGGCAAGACAGAGCCACAGAAAACACTCCCCAGATTTTCATGACAATTATGGTAATGCTATACTAGCCAGTGGAACTGTTTTCTGTGTTGTTGCATGGATATTTACAACCACACAGATTGGAGTAGAATGGAACCTATCCCCTGTTGGCAGAGTCACTCCAAAAGAATGGAATGATGAGTAACCATCACAGTTGCTGTAATACAGAATTGTTTTCAAATCTACCTGCCATTTAAGCACTCTGCTGCTCATTTAAATACAGCATAATTAAAATACATTTGAAACCTTTAAAAGATCATTGAATGTAGTCATTATAATGCCTGGGAGCAAGGCTGTAAGAGTGGGTATAGATTACAGGGGATTAAGAATAACAAATATTTGAAAATAGAATTAATAAAGCGTGTGTTCTTCTGGCTTAATGATTTACTCTAGACATCCTTCAGTGGCTGTGCACACGTATGTACCTTATGAATTAATTTAATTGCCTGGCAAATCTTGATGAATCTTCCTTAAAATATATTTATGATCTGAACATTTTTCATATCCTTCATCTTTCTCTCCCTGAAACCACCACGGTCTCACTGAGATTATTATAAAAACTTTCTGGCTGATCTCCTTGCTGCCACACTTGATGTTCCCCCAGGCCTACCCCCCTCTACCTTGCCCAACACAATGTTTTTTAAGCACAGTAGCCAGTATGATTATTTAAAAACATTAGCCTAGTGATAGCATTCCTTTTTGGAAAACACAAGACTTTTATTTCACAGCAGAGTTAAAGCTAAGAGAAGGGTACACAGACCCCTTAAAATTCTGTACTGGTCTGTTTCTATTCTGCATCAAGACTTTTCCACTTGCTTTTTCTTCTGTTTGGAATGCACTTCCTCCAGATCCTATGTGACTCACTCTCCATTACACTTTTCAGGGTTTTGTTCACGTGTCTTTTCAGAGAAAGCTATGACTACCCTTTCAAAAATTGCAAAACTGCCCTGACTGGGTGGCTCAGTTGGTTGGAGCATTGTCCCATACACTGGTCAGGGCACATACTTAGGTTGTGGATTCAATTACCAGGGAGTGTTTGGGAGGCAGCTGATCGATACTTCTCATACTGATGTGGCTTTAGCTCATTTCTCTATAAAATCAATAAACATATCCTCAGGTGAGGATTAAAAAATCGCAACCCCTACTTAGACTGGGCTTTGTCTATCTTGCTTCCTAGCTTTATTTTTTCTTCATAAAAATTATAATCATCTGGCATACATTTTATTTTATTGATATATTTTATTGTTTACTGTCTGTGTGAAAAACTCCATAAAAGGAAAGGTTGGAAACTGCGTTTTTAATTATTTTATCCCTATAACAAAGCCTGGTAGATTAGGCCTTCAGTAATTATTGGTTTAATTAATGGGTGCCTTTAAATAATTCAGTGCCCCTGTTAGTCTGAAAATAATGAATTTATTTACCACTGTGTGTTTGCAATGATTATAGGAGGGCATATTCGTTATCTATTGCTATTTTACAAATTACCCCAAACTTGGTGGCTTAAAACAGTAAGCATTGGCTCACAGTTTCTATGAAGCAAAAATCTGAGGATTACTTACCTGGAGGTCTCTGGCCTAAGGTCTCACACTTCTGCAATCAAAATGTCAAACAGGTCTCTTATCCTCTCAAGGCACAGCTGATGGAGGATCCACATCCAGACTTTCTATAAAACTATTGATTGGGCTCAGGACCTTGCTGGACATTGACTGGGAATACCAGTTCTTCTGTGTGGGTCTTTTCATAGGGGAGATCACAGTGCAGCAGTCGGCATTCCTTGCAGTAAAAGAAGGTACTCAGATGAAAGAAAGAAGCTATGGTCTTTTTATAGCCTAATCTTGCAAGTGACATTCTGTCACTACTGGAAGTGTTTTCTTTGTTTGTTTTCTCTAGAAGTGAGTCACTAAACCAAGGCCATACAAAAGGGGAGGAGATTATACAAGGGCATAATTACTAGTAGGCAGGGATCACTGGGAATAATTTTATAGGCTATCAACCATAGTTAGCAACGGAGATCACCTCCTTCTCCTAAATGACTGACTTCAAAGTAACTATATTGCCCTGGCCGGTTTGGCTCAGTGGTTAGAGCGTCGGCCTGCGGTCTGGAGAGACCCAGGTTCGGTTCCCGCTAAGGGCATGTACCTCGGTTGCAGTTTGTCCCTGGCCCTGGTTGGTCATGTGGATGGCGGCCACTCGATGTGTCTCTTTCACGTCGATGTTTCTCTCTCTCTCTCTCTTCCTCTTTCTCCCTCCCGCTCTATCTGTACAAAAAATGGAAAAATGTCCTCGGGTGAGGATAAAAAAAAAAAGTAACTATATTGCTCTTAACCTCAAATATATTATATATTGGTATTGTACCCATTTTACTCTGAAAGTTTCTCTAGGGTCTTTCCTAGGTATAGAATTTGTAAGATTTAGGGAACACCCATTTTTAGCTTTATCAGTATTGCTAATTATTTCCCATAGTGGTTAAATAGTTTACATTCTCACAAGCAATGCGCACCACTTCCTCTTGCAATACATCCAGGCTCATTCTTAGTTTTCAATCATTTTAACATTTGCTACTTTGATGAGTGTGCAGTAGTAGCTTCTGTTTTAATTTGCATTTCCCTGATTACTGAAGAGGTTGAAAATCCTGCGTTAGGTTTTGTTTTTTATTTTCTTTTGCGTGACTTTTTTGTTTGTTTCTTTTCCATTTTTCTATTCAGTTGTTTGTCTTATTTGTAGAAGCTTGTTCTATATTCAAGGTTTAATCAGAGAAACAGGACCAGTATAAGCAGTATAGAATATAGGATTAATTATGGGAATTAGAACTAATACTTAACTAAGTTGATATTTAGAAGCCACAGTAATTTACCCCTTCTCAACTTGACATCAGTGTGTATTTTTTCTAATCGTGCTTATATTTCAAATGAAGCCAAAATATGCTTCCACCTAACACGATGCAACTTTCTCTCATAAAACTAACTCACTAATTTGATCCCCCAAAGGGGACACAAAATTCAATCCCTTTCTCATGGCAGGGTGGCACTCTCGACTTCCATTTTAATGGGACCATTGCTGTGATCCCTAGTAGAAGTCTGAGACTTACAGACCAGCAAAGGCCAAAGTCATGGAAACAGGGAACAGCTATTTCTCCAGTGAATCACTAGGGGTGATTGTGGGGCAGCCACTCCCATATCCACTTCTTAAATCCAGGCCCTATGAATGCTGGCTCCAGGAATAACGGACCACGTATTTGTTGGTTATTTAGAGCACATCCAACATCTTGGAAGATACTGCCTCAGCTTTGCAAGGTGGAGTTATCTAGCTGTTGCTGTAACTAACACTTCGGAAGGTCATTATGCCATTCTGTCTGTGGTGGAAAACATGGTAAGGCTAATGAGTCCATAAACATGAGCCCGTTACAGTACTTCATTGCTGTAAAATACATTTCTTAATCAGAATCTGCTGCTTATGCTATGGTGTTAAGGCATTTTACAAGTTCATAGATGAAAGTATTCACAGAAAAGCCACAGGAAGAGAAGGTAATCTACACTATTAGGAACTGTGTCATCTAATGAGAACAGAGCACCACCTTTCCCATGATGGAAATGGGCCGATGAGATCCAACTGGCACTGATGCCTGCCTGCTTCCTTCCCCAAGGAATGCTGGCAATGGAGGCCAGTGTGGATCTGCCCACTCGGTGGCCTGGGCACTCCACAGTGGCTGTAGACAGGCTAGGCCTTAGGAGTGCAAGTTCCCTCTGAGCCCACCCACAGCCTCCATTCCTGCTGTCATGGCCATTTTGTCTCTGAGCCGTTGTGAAAACTCACAGGGGCTGAGATAGAATGAGTTATCTTGTCCACGTGGTGATTAATACTCCCCTGCTGAGTATCCTTTTGGTGAGTATTTAGATAGTACATGAATATCTTTTACCTATGTTCATTTAGAGGAGTCTGTTGTTTCCAGATTTTTTGTCACCAAATTTCCAATAGCATTTCTTCTAATTCCTTGACCAGACTGCCAAGCCTTTAACTGCTACTCATGATGTGGTATAGAATTGGACCTGTGGCCATTTCTCCTTCCAAGAACATAAACAACCATGTACACTGTGCTGCCCACTAGGCAGATTTTCTTTCTTTCTTCAGAGCCAACCGGGAATTAATCTGTATTTCTAAAGCTGTTCACTTTCAGCTATGGCCAGCATGTTTTGTAAAACCAGATCTGATCTCTTTCTTCCTCAGTCCCCTGGAACTAGGAAACTCCCTATGGGGTCATAGGTTTACATATCTATAAACCGTAGGTTTAAATGTTCCTAAACACACAACCTGTGAACAGTGGAGCCAGGAGTCGAGCTTTAAAACCTGTTGCTTTACTTCCAAGCTAGGCTGTCTCTTAGTCTTTCTTCAGGCATACAGGTTGGAGGTTTGGGAGAAGGATTCAAGCCACAGCTAGAGAAGAAGGGGGCCATTATAGATTATTGTGAAAACCATAGCAGTAAAAAGCATTATCGAGAGAGTGTATCAATGAGGAAGTAGGGATAAGGAATGCACGTAGTATGTATGAGTATTTTAGGAGGGTAGTTACCAGTTTTGCCCTGGCCAATGTGGCTCCAATGCTTAGGTGTCATCCCAAGCACTGAGAAGTTGCTGGTCCCATTCCTGGTCAGGGCACATGCTTGGATTGCAGGCTTGATCTCGGGAGTTGGGGGAGTGGGAGGGAATGGTGGGAGGCAGCCGGTTGCTCTCACATCAATGTTTCTCTATCCCTCTCCCTTTTTCTCTCTAAAAATAAATAAAAGATCTTTAATAAATTAAAATGAAAAGGGCAGTTACTTTCTTTTTACCTTCACCCTGAATATTTTTTTATTTGAAATGAGGATTAAAGCCTACCTCTTTAGGTTTATATATGTATAGTTCTGTGTGTGTGTAGAGAGAGAGTATGCATATATGTGTATATCTGTGTATATCTATGATAAATACATTGATATACACATATATCTGTATTAATATATACATGCATACATATACATATATTTTTAAGAACACTTATTTTAAGGAATGGATGTATACATGTTTGTGCTTAAAATTATTATTAAAATTTGTGGCCACTGGTTTCATATAATAAATTTAGATATTAAGTCCTTTACTATTTCTAACATTTCT